TTATCTTCATGTCTTAAACGTTGAAATTTACTATTACAAGCACTACAGAAAGTATAAGAGAACGTTCCTTCAAAATTGCTATTATAATCAAACTTGGTATTAACATCAAAAAGAAATTTGTTTGCTTTTAGGAAAGATGAATTTGGAGTATAAGCACGTTGGTAGATTTGTTGTCCACGTTTTGGTTTCTTAGTTCTTAACAGTTGTTTGTTTTTTTTACATTTACATGAATCCTGTTGAAAATAATATAAGCACCTTGAACATGAGTAACAGGTTCCAGGAAGGTATTTGCAAATAAAATTTTCCTCCATTTGAAATGCAAAAGAACTTCATTAAACTTATAAACTTTTATTTTGCTCAAAAAGGTTAGGCTCAATTTTTTGTCACTTTTAGCAATTTGTTTTTGGTTGTTTTCGGTTTGTTTTCAATGTTTTTCGGTTAATTAATTTTAATTGATCAAAAAATCACCTGATCACAATAATTCGAAAATGGCGATAATATTTTTAACTAATTTTTGGTAAATAATATTTATATCTAGATTTGTTTCATAAACTTGTAAGAGATAATTATTTTTATTTATAAAATCCTGAAGTTTATTATTAGTAAACTATGAATAATAATAAAATTATTTGATAGGAATAATATTTTGATTATCCCTTAAGAATAATAATAAAATTGTTTTCTTAGAATGATAGTTTGATTATTTTTTAAGAATAATAACAAAATCATTCTTTGGAATGTAATTTCTTCTTATGAATAATAATAAAATTATTCAAAAGAAATGATTATTTGATCATTCTAAAAGAACAATAATAAAATCTTTCAAAAGGAATGATATTTTGATCATTCTGAAAAAATGATAAAAGAATTATCATTTTATTAGAATAATAATAGATCATTCTTTTTGAATAATACATTTTACATATTTTTGTTTAAGTTACTTTACTATATTAAGTAATTTCTTATCATTTATTTTATAACTTTAAAGAATCTCCCATTCTATAGATATCTGAAATTCATTAAAATTATTTCACTTAAGATTTATAAACTTAAGGAATTAAGAACTTAGAAAAACTTAGAAAGTTTATTTATTTAAAATAATAAATTCAAAAGCAAATTAGTATAGTAGTTTATAATTAAATTTTAAATGAGAAATAAATAAAGGAAAAATAATTATATTTTAAAGTTGATTTCTTAATTTATTACTTAAAACTTATAAAAGAGTTAATTTACAATTCACTTAAAAAGTTATTTTATTTATATAAAATTAATTTGCTATAATTAACTAATTAGTATATTATAAATTAACTATAATTAACTCTTTCTAAATGCATTCATCCTCTTGGGATCATAATACAAATTTGAGAAAATATGTACTTAAAGAGAATATGCAGTAAAGATGAACCAATTTTAACTAGTTGTAATTTGAGTTATAACTTTTTATGAATTTTCATATTAAAATAAAATTTATAAGGAGTTACAACTCAAGTTACAATCTATTGACAACTCTTAATTATAGTACTATATTTTAGTATGCATTTAGGAAGAAAAATTTATATGATCACTATATACTTAGAACTGAGTAAGAGTATGCATTTAGAGAGATTTGACTGTAAATTATAAGTATTAATATATAAGATATAATAAATTTATAAATTTAATACATATAAGAAAATAATTATTATGAATTTAATAAATATAATAAAAATAAGTGAAATTATAAATATTAGATATATCAGACTGATTTGCAAGATCTGAGAAATTAGAAGTTTATTGTTGATAATTTAGTATACTTTTTGAAAATATTATTATATGGGAGGTTTGCTAAGAAAATAAGACTCTGAGCATTTTTTATTAAAATTTTAATTTTTATTGCATTTGAATCTAACATTATCGAAAATTAAAATGCAATAAA